TATTACCAGATATTGAATATAGTTCCCTGTGGTCTACAGTAGGTCCTTGTTGGCTATCTTTTTTTGTAACTTTATTTCTTTTTGGCTGCACTGGGTCTTCATTGCTGTGCGGGCTTTCTCTAGTTGTGGTGAGCAGGGGCGCACAGGCTTAGTTGCCTCGCGGCACGTGGCATCTTCCCAGACCAGGGATGGAACCCGTGTCCCCTGCACTGGCAGGCGGATTCTTAAGCCTTGGAACCCCAGGGAAGCCCCAGATATCTATTTTAAGTAGTAGTATGTGTCTGTTAATCCCAGTCTCCTATTTTACCCCCTCCCCTGATCACTAGTTCTTTATCAGGAGGCTCCAGGTTTCGATAAGAGGTTCTGCCAGTGAGCACTTGGTACCATTAGAACAAAACACAAACCCCTCTGGGAAAATAATTTTTATACAATTTTCTATGACTCTTGACTCCTTTTTATAATTCAGAGAAGTCATTCACTTTGACTATTTTATCTTTTTATCATATTATGAATCAACATAGCACCTTTTTGGAATCAATGGTTTCCCACTGATAGGACTCTGCTGTGTATAACCAAAGCACCGTTAGAAGCCTTATCGGGTATATGGCCTTCCTCAGTAAATTAAAATGTGGAGACGTTAGATAGTACTGCATATAAATGAATGTACCATCATTGGCATGCATTAGTTTTGGGTGAGTGTGCATATGTGTGCAAGCCCATGTGCATGTGTGTGCATGTATTTGTGTGCATGGGTGTGTACACATGTGTGCATGTATGTGTAGATTATTAGCAGTGCAGTTCAGCAGAAGAAATAAAATGACTTTTTAAAAATTAAATTTATACATTTTTAGTTGAAGGATAATTGCTTTACAGTATTGCATTGGTTTCTGCCAAATATCAACACGAATCAGAGAAATGGCGCTTTTTAAAAATATTTATTTATCTGGTTGCGCCAGGTCACGAGGGATCTTCGATCTTCTTTGGGACACTTAGGATTTTTGGTCTTCTTGCAGCTTGCGGGATCTTTGACTGTCCCACGTGAACTCTTAGTCGCGCCATGTAGGATTCAGCTCCCGACCGGGGTGGAACGCGGACATCCTGCATCGGGAGTGCTGAGTCCTACCCGCCGGAACGTCTTTACTTGCCTGTCATTGAGCTGGTCCCCAGAGCGGCCCCCTCTTAGTGGCAGGACACACACACACACACCGCCGGAGTTTGATACTTAGCCCCTGCCAACCAGTATAAACACACCCCGTGGCATTTATTTAGCCCCTGTGTTTCCCTGTCCACGCTCCACCAGGACGGAACCCAGGGGAGAGGGAGCAGTCGTTAGCACTACGGGGAAGACTCCGGGCCCCCGCAGGCGCTGGGTCCGAGCTGACCGGCCGCGCGGGCCTCGCTCACAGGATGCTGGAGGCTTACGTCTGCGGGAAGCGGTCGAAGGGGTCCAACCTCGCTCTGCTCCCTGGGGGACCGGGGACCCTTCAGGTCATCGCGGTGAGCTCTTCGTCCCCGGGAGCTCAGCGTCTGAGCATCCGTCCCTGCCCCCTCGCACCCGGGCGACGTCTCTCCTCCCACCACGACGGGGCGCACTCTGACCTCCGTCACTCAAGTGAACACACCGGAGCCGGGAGGGTCGGAGCGCAAGGTGGAGCCTCGCTGCCTGACCACGCAGCACTGCCCGGCTCGTCCTCCAGGTGGCGCCCGGGGGCCTCAGAGAAGGAGGGGCCGTCCCTCCCCGTGGGAACGTCCTTGCGCCCTAGGGCCCTGAGTCCATCCCCGGGCTCCGGAGGCCACAGGGTCGGGAAGAAGAGACTAGCCCTGACTTTCGGTTTCCGGTCCTCTCTCTGGGCCCGTCTTCTCTTCCCACCTGTTCCCCAGGTGGGAAGGGGTTTTCTTTTACCTTTGTCTTAATTTCTCCTAAACCCTGTCTGCTCCCTGCTGTGGGCTGGAATCATAAAAATCCTTCTCAGTGGGGCAGACAGCCATGAACCGGGCCGGGGCATAGAATATTCAGGAACCTCTCCGGGAATGCCAGCCCTCCACACTTCCCTCTGCTAAGCGCCCACCTATCCGCCTGTCTACCTGGGGTCAGGGTCAGGCCAGCTTTTAGGGGAAATGCACCATTCTAACTGTGGTCATTAATTTATGTGTCAACCTGCCTGGGCTAAGGAGCCTCCAGTGCTGGTAAAAACAGAATTTCTGGGCGTGTCTGCGAAAGAGACTCTGGAAGAGATGAGCTGAGAGAAGGGGTCCACCCTCACAATGTGGACGGCTCCACCCCATCCCCCGGGGGCCCACAGACCGAGAAGGGGCAGGCGGTGCATTCCCGCCTGTTCTTGCGCTGGGACGCCCGGCAGCTCCGGCCCTCAGACTCAGACCCCTGGTTCCCGCCTCCCCAGCCCCGGGCCGGGGCTGACACCGCTGCCCTCCCGGTCTCAGCCTGCACACCCGCACTGACACTGTCACACACGCCCGCGCTGACGCCGTCACAGACGCACGCTGACGCCGTCACACACCCAACTGACGCCGTCACACACGCCCGCGCTGACGCCGTCACAGACGCACGCTGACGCTGTCACAGACGCACGCTGACGCCGTCACACACCCACGCTGACGCCGTCACACACCCAACTGACGCCGTCACACACGCCCGCGCTGACACCGTCACAGACGCACGCTGACGCTGTCACAGACTCACGCTGACGCCGCCACACACCCACACTGACGCCGCCACACACCCGCGCTGACGCCGCCACACACCCGCGCTGACGCCGCCACACACCCGCGCTGACGCCGTCACACACCCACGCTGACGCCGTCACAGACGCACGCTGATGCCGTCACACACCCACGCTGACGCCATCACACACCCACGCTGACGCCGTCACAGACGCACGCTGATGCCGTCACACACCCACGCTGACGCCGTCACACACCCACGCTGACGCCGTCACAGACGCACGCTGATGCCGTCACACACCCACGCTGATGCCGTCACACACCCACGCTGACGCCGTCACACACCCACGCTGACGCCGTCACAGACGCACGCTGATGCCATCACACACCCAACTGACACCGTCACACACCCACGCTGATGCCGTCACACACTCAACTGACACCGTCACACACCCACGCTGACGCCGTCACACACCCACACTGACGCCGTCACACACCCACGCTGACGCCGTCACACACCCACGCTGACGCCGTCACAGACGCACGCTGATGCCATCACACACCCAACTGACACCGTCACACACCCACGCTGATGCCGTCACACACTCAACTGACACCGTCACACACCCACGCTGATGCCATCACACACTCAACTGACACCGTCACACGCCCACACTGATGCCGTCACACACGCACACTGACGCTGTCACCCTCTCTCCTGGGTCTGCACCTCCAGAGGACGGTCCTGGGGCGGACTCTCCACCTCCTGAACCCCGAGAGTCTGTTCCCGTGATGGTCTCCTTTCACAAATCCCCATACAACCGTGTGACGACCTGTCGGTCCTGGAGAGTCCTGAATAATACAGGAATGGTGGGAAAATAACAGAGAGGAGCAGAGAGAGGCAGAGAGAGAATGAAACAGCAACTGCGCACAAGAATGGAAGCGGAGGAACCAAAGATGAAGACTTCCGAGTTAAGATGCAGATCTTTGCAGGAACTAACCTCCAGTGCAAATAAGAAATGAAAGATCAGTACCAATAATGAATTGGGGGGTGGGCACCCTCCTCTGAGCCAGGACAGAAACCTCCCGGCTGTGGAGATACAGCCCGCCATGTGGTCAGGGCAGGTCAGGTGTCCACGTGGGTCTGTGGCCCCGTCACTCAGAGCTGGCCGACCTTGGGCAAGTTACCTAATGTTTCAGTCCCTCGGTTCTTGCAGAAAAGTGGAGAAGAGCGTAGGACATTCTGTGGAGGGTTCTACCAGGGTTAAATGTGCCAGTGTTTGCACAGAACTAAAATAGCCATGGTAGGAGCTGGCTGAGGAGCCTGGAGAATCCCGTGGACGGGGAGCCTGGTGGGCTGCTGTCCATAGGGTCACACAGAGTCGGACATGACTGAAGCGACTTAGCAGCATCAGCAGGAGCTGGCTGAATCTAGGATGAATTGTTAAAATATACTTCAGATGTATAAGGACATTTAAAATACCAGGCCTGTAAGAGGCGTGCAGGTTTCTTATGTTTCTATTAAGAACTAAAAACCAAAATATCGACAACTGGACTCTGCCGCCCCCTAGCGGGATTCGGGGGTAAAGTTTCTGTTTTAATCCGAGTGGGAACGACAGTCTGACCCCCATAAGCAGGGCGGTGACCACGCACACCGCTCAGCGGAATCGGGGCTCTCCTGGCTGCTTCTGGGGTGGAGGGGGTGTCCCTGGTTAGCCTATACCTGGACCTGGGGTGACAAAGGCAGGTGGATAGTGGCCCAGATTGTGGACCCCTGTAAAGGAGGTGGTTGGGGTGTGGACCCTGGATTGACTGGTTTGTGTTTGATATGTGCACCTGAGGAAGAGGATTCTTGCTCAGGAATTGGGGTAAGGGCGCAATGAGAGAGTCAGGAGACCTGTACAGTTGACTCAGGAGTATCACCAGCTCATCCAGGAAAACAGGTGTCCGGCGTCAGCCTTAAAATTCAAAGTCCAGTTTGGGTTGTTATTGTTTTAACCATTAGTATGAGTTTATTTAGGAATGGCAGAGGGATTGCAATTCAGGACATTCAAACTATGGCAAACCGCAGTCAAATCCAGAGAACAAAGGAGAGGACTGTTACCCAACAGAGAAAAAGGAGGAAGCTGGAAGAGGCTGCTTTGACTCAAAGCCCCTTGAAGAAAAGCAAGCATTCAGGTCACTGACGGTTTCTGGTTGGCTGGGATGTGGCTGCTTCTCATTGGCTGGGCTATGGTTGTTTCTCATTGGCTGAGCTGTGCTATTTTCTCATTGGCTGAGTTGTTTCTGTTTCTCATTAGCTGAGCTATTGCTCTTCCTCATAGGCTGGACTGTTGCTGGGCCAGGAGAAAATCATCCTTCCGCTGCTGCCTAGTAAGATAACTGTCTTCCTGCCCAGAAATGTAAAGTAAGCTGCAACGGAGGGGAGAGGCGAGAGAGCGCCCCTCTAGGCTTCCCAACTGCGGTTTAAAGGTTTCCCTTAGTATGTTCACACCAGAATGTGCCTGTATCACACCTGTTAAAGCATCAACTTTACAGGAACCCGAAACAAGACTAATACAAGAGGTACAGGAAGCTGTACTCCACGGCATCCAGGCAGCCAGGCACCACACTCGGTGTGTGCCGCCAAGGTCGCCCAGGGCATCCGCATCCACCAGCAGAAGGACCAACAGTGAGCATCTTGTGAGGGAGGGTTCGGGGCCAGGCCTGGAAGCAGCTCCGTGCATCCTGCTCACTGTGAACGCCATCCCAGGACACACATAACTGCAAGGAGGCTGGGAGATCGTCTCGCTGGGAGCCCAGGAAGGGAGGACACGGTGCTGGGCAGCCACAGTCCTGTCACACGGGCCCACCTGGCCCTATGGGCACCTGCGGGTCACACGGTGGGCGTGCTTCTAGTCTCCCCTGCTTCCTACCCGACCTCCTCTTACATGGAGGTTCTAGGGACACAAGAAATAGACTCTCAGGAATTCATTCTTTCACAAGCTAGTGGAAACAGAAAGAAACATCCCTGCGAGGAGATGCGTAGAATTCAGAGTGAGGCATTCAAGCCCAGAGGAGCCCACGAACGGAGGTGGTGCTGCGGATGGACACCCACTCCCGTAGACAAGAACCAGCTACTGTGTTACCTTAGGTGCAAAAGGGGTCGTTACAGGTGTGAGCGAGTTAAGGCTCAGTCTTAAGGTTATTGAGGGGAGATGACCTTGAATATTCTAGGTGGACCCAATGTAATCACCAGGGTTCTTACAAGAGAGAAGCAGGAGGGTCAGAGAGTGAGGAGATGAGACGTGACCACAGAAGCAGGAGTCCTAGTCAGAGGGAGGAGCCGAAGATGGAGGAAGGGGCCATGAGCCAAGGAGTGCAGACGGCCCCCGGATGCTGTAAAAGGTAACGGAATGGAGCCTCCCCTGGAGCCTCCAGAAGGAACACAGCCCTGCCCACCCCGGATTTCAGCCCCGTGTAACTGATCTCAGACTTCTGACGTCCTGAACTGTAGGGTAATACGCTGCATTGTTTGGTGCCGCTATGTGAGTGGTAATTTGTTACAGCAGCAGTTGTATGCTTGTTGGGATGAATGGCCTCCAATCCTAAATCTGACGGGCATTAGCCCGGTGAGGGGTGAAGGTCAGGTCAAGGACAGTGTCCTACAGCTGCTGGGCCCTCTCGTGTTTGGGGAATGCATGGCGTCCAATGGGGATGAACTGGCGGGGGGCAGGGGGGTGGGAGACAGGGGCCTGCCTGTTCCTCGGGGTGGACCTAAAGCCTGAGGGGCCCTCCCTGTTCAGTCATGGCCTCACCAGCTCCCTCGGCCAGCCCACCGTGTCCACGCGTGTGGGTGTCTGCATGAGTGTATGCGTGTGTACAGTGTGTGCATATATGTCTGTGTGTGCATATCTGCATTCAGGGGGTATATGTGCATGTATACCCTTTGCACTGTGCAGCTGTGTTTGGGTCCCTATGAGTGCATTTGTGCATGCATGGCTGTGTGCTTGTGGAGGCATGGGAGCAGTAAGCAGGTGGGGCAGCTCTGCGCCTTCCCCCAGACACAAGTCCCCTCAGACACACTCTTGGGTCAGAAAACACTGATTGTCTTGTTTTTGTCTTGTTTCCCTCACTGAGTTTTGGGGGACGGTGGAGGCAGAGACTGGTACCTAGAACCTGTGTACCCAGCGCTGTATGAAGGGCTGAGGCACTTGGACCTGTGAGAACATTGACTGATGAACAAGGTGAAGTGTGATCCAGAAAACTGGGCATCAGCTACCAGCCACATGAGTGCAGCCCAGATTCAAGATCACCACCCGAACTCCAGGAAGGTTTGTAGAGTCAGCTGAGAACACAAAACAGATCTCCAGGGCCAGTGGAAGATTCATAGAACATGTCTGAAGTCCACTGGGAAACTGTAGGGACATAGCTGGGTCTCCGGAAACAGCCAAGCACCATACCTGGGTCTCTGGAAATAGCCAAGAACTATAGCTGGGTCTTTGGAAACAGCCAACAAACACCATAGCTGGGTCTCTTGAAACAAGTGCTACATCTTCTCTCCAAGGAGCTAGTTGCTTGTGGGAGGGACCACATGGTTAATGAATCTCCTAGGAGGTAATGTGGGGTCTCAGGACTCCAGCTGTTGCCTGCAGGAGAATTGACTGGATGTCTTTCCAGAAAGGAATCATTCCACAGGGAAACCATCCCAATGTCCACTTCGGGCTTTTGCAAGTGTGACTTCCTGCATGTTTAGGGCAGAGGCCAGGTGGGCACGGGGTCAATGTCTGGCAATGGTTGCATACGTGCTGGACTCTGCCAGGGGCTCTGTGGACGGCGGGGACACAGCTCTGGCTGCCCTCTGGGTGAGGGGCTTGTGGTTCAGCTGGGCGTAGGTCACCTCTTGGAGGCCTCCTGCAGCAGGGGTCTGAGAATAAAGATGCAGGGTGGGTTTGGGTGGCAGAGTAAGGGTATGTCACCTCCACAGTGAGGACACAGAAGACAGTGTGGCTTCTGTCCCTCTCTCTTGGGGTCCCTCCCTCTGGGGGAGTCTGACCACCATGAGAAGCACGTGTGGTGAGGATGTGAGATCCTGCCCGCTGCCGGGGGACTGAATGTCATGGAAGTGGATCTTCCAGCCCCGGTCGAGCCTCTGATGAGCACAGCCCTGCTCAGCATCTTGATGGCAACCTCAGAACAGACCGTGAGCCAGAACTACCCAGCCGAAGCAATTCCGACTTCCTGGCCCAAGAAACTGAGGTGATTCTGTTAGCTGCTAAGTTCCAGAGGCTTTGGTTCAGAGCACTAGCTGATGAATGCAGGCACTTACGGAGGCGCCCACCTCTCCATCCATGTCAGGAAATCTGTCAACGCTGGCCACATCTGAAGGGGAGGAGGACCAAGGCTCAGTTCTCTGAGGTGGAGCTTAGGAGACACACATGCCTGACCTCACAGCTTCATATTTCGTCTCCTCCCCACCTGCAACGTCCTGGAATGCTTCACCCCACACTGTTTCCTGCATGGCCTGAACCCCTGCTTCCCCCCTAGACCTGTCCCCCATCCTTGTCTTTACCTGGGGTCCCATCTAGGACATCCACAGCTGGGCTGAGCCTGAGGAGAAAGAACATATGAGTCCTGAGGGCTGCATGGGCGCAGAGGACGGGTGGACTGGGAGGTCATCAGCAGGGTCCTCACCTCCCCTGGTGTCTCTGCTCCTCGTCTTTGCTTCTGGGTGGCCCTGAGGAGAGTCAGGTGTGAATTAAGAAGAGAAGCCTTCTTTCCAGCACCCCCAAACGGCCTGCCCGGTCACCCCACCCTGTCCCTGAGACCTACCTCGTTTTCTCCGGTGCTGACGATGGAGGAGGAGAAGGACCAGGAGGAAGAGACAAAGGAGAAAGGCCACAGAGACCCCGATGAGAATATAAACCTGCTCCGTCGACAGGCCTGTGGGAGCTGGGAGGGTGGAATCAGATTATCAGCAGTACACCCTTATGGAGCACCTGCTGCATACCGCCCCTACACACACATGCTAGGGGCTTGTGGTGTTCACACTCACATATAGAGCTCTCACACGCACACCAGTCCTGTGGCTTGGGACTTGCCATCCCCCGCTTTACAAAGCCGGGTCTGAGAGTTTAAGCCCTGTGTCCACAGCGCATTGGCAGAGCTGGAATACTACCAACACCAAAGCCCGTTTTCTCCCTCTTTCCCCAAAGAGCACACACCACGAGGGAAGAAAATATTTCCTCGTATGAGTAAGATCAGCACTTCTCCAGGCTCAGGCAGTGCTGCAGGGTCGGTGCATTTATTCCTGGTTTTGCACATGAGCAACGAGGAAGGTGGAAGGATTGGGTGATTCGATTTGCTCGGGGCCCAGAGCTGCGGAAGGCGGAACCCGATCCAGGCAGTCTCGGTGATGGGTTCTGCTCTGGACAAGAGTCTCCACAGCGTGAAATGGGAGGGAGGGAGCGAGATGGAAGGGGGCTGAGCTGGATTCCTACACCTGGCGGGTTCATGGCCTTCCGGGAGGGCAGGTCTGCCTTCTGGGCTGCTCAGGCATAACCATCAGCGGTCCCTTCCATTTGCCTCCCAGCCCCCGTCCCTCTCTCAGCGCGCAGCCGGGCCCGCCGTGGACCTGACCACAAGGGGGCGGTGCGGAGCGGCAGCCAAACCCCCGAGTCTGGGGTCCAGTCTGGCTGCCCTGGGCTGGTTCCTCCCTTCCAATCCCTGCGCCTTTGGACAAGAACCTGCAAGCTCCTTTCCGCATAGAAAAAGGGGCGGAGGCTCTGACAAGGTCCGGGAAGTGCCGCCCACGATGGTCCGTCCTGGCATGACTCCATCAGGGGCCCGGTGCAGAGTCATCCAGCCTCGTGGGTGCTGTTCCCGGGGTCCTTAGGAGTCAGAGACACCCCGGTGCCCTGCGCCTGCCAGCCCGTGCTGAGCTCTCACAGTCCCTGAGCCAAGCCCGGGAGAGGGCTGCGCCCTGATCCCAGCACAGATTCCCCCCGCCCCCCAGACACCCCTCCAGGCGGGGGGTCAGCTACTCACCAGCGGAGGAGCAGCACTGAGTGGTGGGGGAGCTGCCGCCTGCAGGGGGTCCTGTGACGGTGGGGGGACAGGAGAAGGACTGGTGCTGTGTGGGGGCTGCCCAGGGTCTGTCCCACTCAGCCTGGCGCCTCTCCATCCTGAGCATCCTACCGCGGGCCACCCACGGCCTTCACTCAACCCCGGACAACACCCCGAGACCCCCGAGAAAATGGGGCCGGGGCCAGGCGAGGCGGAGCCCCCTGCTCCATCGCGCTGGGGTCACACCCTCTGCACCTCCCGGAGCTGTGCCCCGCATCACTGCCCAGACTCTTCATGGTGACCTCCTCTGAGGGGGGTGGTCAGAGTGTGCTGGACGGACCCCGACTCCAGGACTCCCTGGGGGCTGACCACACACAGGACATGGACGGCCTCACCCCAAAGGTGCCCCGAACCACCATCCAGCCCTGGGCAGGGGTCCCTGACTTGCCTGGTGAGACCAGGCTCGGGGAGCTGAGCCAGGCGTGGAGGCAGGGGACGCGTGGGCAGAGGGGACAGAGGCAGAGGGCCCGGGGGCGAGGGTGGGGCGGCGAGCAGAGGGCGCAGCGGGGTCCTGGGCACACCTGTGGGCAGGGCAGAGATGGCCTCCTCGGTCCCCTCCAGGCTCAGGGCCTCGCTGCGCTCAGACCAGCCGGACTCTGTTTGATAGATGCAGCGATAACGCCCGACGGCGTCTTCACGCAGGACGGTGATGTGGAATCTGGCCTCCGTCTCCTGTTCACCTCCGGACGTGACAGCCACATCGCTGTAGTTGTATTTATTGTCCTTCTCCAGGCGGAAGGTCGTAACCCAGGCAGGGCCCCTGCACACGATGCTCACTGGCCGCCCCCAGGGCACCACAGAGCCCGGCTCAGCTGAGATGGAGGGTTTGGGCAGGGTCCCTGGGAGGGGAGAGCAGGACCCCACAGTCTGTCCTGAGGAGACCAGCACGTGACACAGTTCTCTCATCTTAGTGGAGAATCAGCACAGGACACAACCCACTCACCTTAGTGGAGAATCAGCACAGGACACAACCCACTCACCTTAGTGGAGAATCAGCACAAGACACAACCCACTAATCTTAGTGCAGAATCACCACAAAATACAACCCACTCATCTTAGTGGAGAATCAGCACACGACACAACCCACTCATCTTAGTGCAGAATCACCACAAAATACAACCCACTCATCTTGGTGGAGAATCAGCACAGGACACAACCCACTCACCTTAGCGGAGAATCACCACACGACACAACCCACTCACCTTAGCGGAGAATCACCACACGACACAACCCACTCACCTTAGTGGAGAATCACCACACGACACAACCCACTCACCTTAGTGAAGAATCACCACACGACACAACCCACTCATCTTGGTGGAGAATCAGCACAAAATACAGTCCACTCATCTTAGTGGAGAATCAGCACACAACACAATCCAGTCACTTTGGTGGACATCACCACACAACACCAAACGTCAACAAAGGTCCATCTAGTCAAGGCTATGGTTTTTCCGGTGGTCATGTATGGATGTGAGAGTTGGACTGTGAAGAAAGCTGAGCACTGAGAAATTGATGCTTTTGAACTGTGGTGTTGGAGAAGACCCTTAAGAGTCCCTTGGACTGCAAGGAGATCCAACCAGTTCATCCTAAAGGAGATGCATCCTGGGTGTTCATTGGAAGGACTGATGCTGAAGCTGAAACTCCAATACTTTGGCCACCTTATGGGAAGAGCTGACTATTGGAAAAGACCCTGATGCTGGGAGGGATTGGGGGCAGGAGGAGAAGGGGATGACAGAGGATGAGATGGCTGGATGGCATCACTGACTCAATGGATGAGAGTTTGAGGAAACTCCAGGAGTTGGTGATGGACAGGGAGGCTTGGTGTGCTGCAGTCCATGGGGTCGCAAAGAGTTGGACACCACTGAGCGACTGAACTGAACTGAACAACACAATTCTCTCAGTGGAGATCACCACACAACATAATTTACTCTCTTTTGTTCAGTTCTTTTTCTTTTTGGAAACTTGCAAAGTTGTACAACATTCACCACAATCCAGTTTCAGAATGCTCCCATCACCCCCGCAGCGGACAGTCCCACCCCCACGCCCGCCCCAGGAGCAGGTGAATTCCCGTCACTGCGGTTAGTTTCCCATTGACGTAAGGACCCTGAGACTTGGTCACATCTCGCTCAGGGTGACATGGGAAGTGACAGAGCAGCTGGGGGCCTGGACATGTCTGCTGGGGGTGGGGGCGTCTCCCTCCCTGCCCACAGCCACTCCAGAGAGAGGGGGAGAGGACATAGGGTGGGAATGACCGGGTCATTCCTGGGACGAGGAGAGCAGGGCTCTTAGTGGGTAGGAGTGACCTGGGCTGGGTCTGAAGGGAAGGGTAGCTGCTGGTCCTGGGAGAGATTGTGTGTCGGGGGGGTAGGTGTATGTGCAGGTGTGGGGGGGATGGGTGTATATACGTGTGTGTGTGCGTGTGTGGATGTGTGTGTGGGTGTATGTGTGTGTGTGCAGGTATATATGTGTGTGGGTGTGTGGCGGGTGTGTATGTGTGGGGGTGTGTATGGGGAGGTCAGGCTTTTGTTCAGTTCAGGCTATCAGCGGATGGATGAGGTCCACCCACATTGTGGAGGACAATTTGCTTTGCTCAAAACCCAATGACTTAAATGTTAAGACCATCCCAAAACATCCTTGCAGACACACCCAGAATGTTTGACCACGTAAATGACCATGGGCCAGCCAAGGAGACTCAAATTAAATACCACAAATTCCACCATCCCCCACAGCATCAAATTGACACCTGTGTGCACCTCCTGAAACCACACCTAACCTCCAAATAAAGACAACAACTTGAGTGAGTGAGTGAGGAGTGAGCTCTGCCAGCCCCTGCCTCTGTGGGGACTTCACTGACTCTGAAGCCAACTTCCTGCTTCAGGGCTGCAAGCCCCCACCACACCCCCCACCACGCCCCCGCCCGGTTGAGATACGTGGGGTTTCCAGAAGCCTCAGTGACAAGGACATGGAAGTACACTGGGATGGAGGCAGAGAATACTGAGAAAACCCAGGGATGGTCTCTGCACACTCACCCTGGACACTGACCCTCACCCGCCAGGGAATGTGAGACCAGACCTGTGCTCCAACTCCTCCACACACATGCACACACATCCACACACCCACATATACACATGCACACACACACCCCTGCACACACATGCACCCATGCACCTACACGCACATACACATGTGCACACACATATACAGACACACACCCACATATACACATGCACATACACACACCTGCACGCACACACACCTGCACACATACACACACACACACCTGCCCACATACACACACACACAAGCACCTGCATACACACACACCCTTCACTTCCCTGTCCTGCAGACTGTTCCCCTTACCTCACACTTTCACACCCAGGACAGGCAGCTGCCCTTCAGACTCAGCAACACAGACTGGGAGACCTCCCCCTCCCTCACCCCCTCCCTCACCCCTCACCCCCTCCCTCCCTCCCTCTTTCCACCACATCTAGTCCAGCCCATCCATTTACTGACTTCTGCCTGTGCCTCTGGTTTCACAAATACAGGAAACACCCCGGCGCCTGCCCCCTTGGGGCTGACAGTCCAGAGGGACTACAGACGTTCACAAAAAGTTGTGTGAACCCATGGGTATGGGCGGTAATGCGTGCCCTCGGGGTGAGTGTGGGAATCTCGGGGAGGGGGGCAGACTGGAGGCCGAGCTGCCCCCCCAGGGGTCGAGGGAGGGGGCTCCTGAGCTGAGCAGACCTGGAGGACGGTCTGGGCTGAGGGGCAGGGCGGAGGGGTCACCGTGGGGAGGGCCGGGCTGGGCGGGGAGATTCAGAAAGTGAAAGAAAACCCAGAGAGCGGCCAGCCTCACGGGGGAGTGCAGGGAAGGCTGGAGGCGACGGCAGGCCGTCTGCCAGGGCAAGGCTGTTCTCTGCAAGGGGCTGCGGGGGGCGGTCTGGGCTTGCAGGGGGCGAGCTCGCGGGCTCAGCCGGGTCTTGAGGGTCGGGTCGTCCCTGCGGGGCCATCGAGGGCAGAGAGGGGACAGGGGAGACCCAGGCCAGGTTCCCGCACTGGGGCTGTTGGCGTCTCGGGGTATAAGCCAGGGCCCCCAGACCCCCAGGGTCCGCTCCGCTCTCATCGAGGTCCGCCTTGGGGAGACAGGGGTTTGGGGGAGACTCACCCTGCTGGGTGCAGGCCATCTGGGCCAGACAGAGCGCTGGAAGAGAAGCACTAGTGAGAAGATGCCCATCTTGCGGTTTCCTCAGGGGCTGCAGTCCGGGGCCTCGAGGAGCCGTGGGGTAGGTGGGCGTCTTCCCATGATGTCCCAACGCTCCCCCCCTCCCCCCGGCAACATCACGTCTGAGTACAAGCCGTCTCCTCGCTCTGAAGTAATCTCAGACAACCCCAACCCTCCTGCAGGCCAGCCCGGCTCAGTCTGCACTCACCCCACACCCGACCCCACGTCCAGGACCGAACCTTCCCTGTCACTTCAGTCTGGGCCAAAGCTGAGGGCGTCCCGGGGATGGAGAGGGAACCGCGTTGCCCCCCAGGACCCCGGTGTCTCCTGGGCTGGAGTCAGGGCTGAGCGGAGCCCCCCTGCCCCTGGAATTCGGCCCCGGCACCCCCGGACTCACCCAGGCCCAGGAGGGTGGGGGGCCCGGGCGCCATGGCCCAGCCGTGTCCCGGGGCGTCCTGGAGTCGGTGCTGAGGGACGGAGCCTGCAGCCCGCCGGAGAAGGGGATGTGCCGCCGGGCCTTTCTGGGGCCGTTTCCACACCAGCAGCCTCACACAAAGGGGAAGAGCGCCCTCCCCGCCCGGCACACTTCCCGCTAAGGGGCCGCGGCGCCCCTTAGCTGTTCCTCCCTCTGGGCTCCCACGAGGTTCAACTTCTCTCGGGTGCACCCCGAGGGGGGAGCCCCATTCTCCACCCGTGAGCAGAACACACTTTGTGCCGCACGCCGACTTGACCGTCGGTCCCGACTCCGTTCTTGGGCAAAGAGTTACATCACTTTACGCCAACGGTTCCTCGTATTGAAACTGGAGAACCCGACATCCTCCTCTGAGTGTTTAATATTGCGGTATATGGTACATTCCCGGAGGGATCGAGTGCATTAAAAATATCTTATCACGTGGGTTCTCTGCCCGTTTCCCGGGCGGTGCTGGGACCGGGGGAGGCGGGGCTGGCCCGTGAGCACACACGGAATCCCAGAGCTGAGTGCTGGGGAGACAGACCTCGGGACCTGGCCCTGGGCTTGGCACCCGCTGGGGCCCCCAGCTGGGTGCTGAAATGAGAGCAGGGCCGGGGCATGGGAGGGCGTGTGCGCACACGGAGCCCGCAGGACAGGAGCCCCGTCGTGGAATCCCCTGGACGGAATCCCTCCGTCCCGAGGCCAGGGAACAGCTGCTTCTCCCAGGGGGAGCTCTGCCAGACGGTGATGGCGGTCTCCACAGCAGCCGGGGCTCAGTCTCCTATTAACAGAAGCCTAGTTCTGCCTGAGGGGCTGTGCTCCAACCCTGGACTGGGGAAGGGGGCGTGGAGAGGATGCGGTTTGGGGCTAAGGCAATCCAGCAATCCCATTTGCAGTGACTGGTCCAGAGGGGGCCACAAGACCGTGGCTGGTCAATGATACTTAATGTGGAATATATCAGGGTTTCTGGAGTCACATTTCTCTCTTATTAACAGAGGGTCTCATAAGACGTTTGCCTCCTTTAATCCTGTCCATGGGCAGCTATATGATGATGATGTGATATCTGGTGCTGCAACAGCCATCTTGCAACCATGAGGCAACAAGCTTGACCAGAACAGCAGAGATAGTGAACACACTGAGGTGAAAGAATACAAGATCTAAGGTTTGTAGAAACTCCTGGAATTGCTGAAAAGGCCTTGCGACTGCCTACCCCTGGAATTCTTAATAAGTAAAGAATAATTGTGCTAGATTTTCTGTCAAATATCAGCCTAAATCTACGGACCACACTGCATCTTAAAATAATAACTCTTTTATTGATAGCTCAGTGGTAAAGAATCCTCCTGCTAGTGCAAGAGACACAGGTTCAATCCCTGGTCCGGGAAGATCTCACATATTGCAGAGCAGCTAAGCCCGTGTGCCATTACTATTGAACCTGTGCCCTAGAGCCTGTATTCCAGAACAAGAGACGACACCACAAAGAGTGCAGAGTGCCCCAACTAGAGAGTAGCCCCCTGTTGTCACAACTAGAGAAAAACCACACAGCATCGAAGAACTAGCACAGCCAAAAATAAACAAATGATTTAAAAAACAATCGTAACTACTTTAAAAACTAAAACTGCTTTATAGAGTGTTTAAATGGTTGTCTTAAATGCCTCAAAGAAATGAAAACTCAGCAAAGGTTATATGGTTGAAATGAAAAGACGAGATTCCCTGGAGCCAAGTTGAATGCTGGACATGACTGTCACCTTGACAGTGATGAATCAAGTTTTAGTTTCATGGCCTGGCCGAGGGTAGCAGCTAGAGGCTAAAGTGTGAGGCTAGTGAAGTCAAGGCTAGAGTAAAGTCAACCAGGATGACCCTGGCTGACTGAGATGAACACCAACACAGCCCCGTGTAACTGCGTCTTTCTGGCCTCTCTCTGTGTGTCTCTCCCTCGTTCATGGCCATTAGTGGATTTTATCAGCTTTGTTAACAGATATCTTGCAGACAGTTAACTGCAGCCATTAAATATGGGCGTGGCCACTGTGGATCTGTGGGTCCACAGCACAGAATCGGAGTCAACAATGCCGAGGTACCCAGGGGCATGCTCCCTGTTTCCAGGATACTCCGCTGCAAAGCTCACCTCAAGTTTTCCAGATTAGCCCACACCTCTGTCTTCCCCTCAGGGCTTCCATGGTGGCTCAGACGGTTAAGATTCTGTCTGCAATGCACGAGACCTAGGCTCAGTCCCTGGGTTGGGAAGATCCCCTGGAGGACAGCACGGCAACCCGCTCCAGTATTCGTGCCTGGAGAATCCCACGGACAGAGGAGCCTGGAGTCGCAAAGAGTCGGACACAACTGAGCGACTCAACAACAAGACATCAGAGGCAGAAACAAAGCAAGCTGAAAAACGCGCTGTCTGTGGTGTGTTGGACCAGAACAGTCCAACAGTTCTGTATCTCAGTGAGTACGTCGGACCAAGCTGTTTTCTTTCTGCTCTGTGTGGGTCTCTCTGTTCTGCCCTGGGCTGGGCTGAGAAAAGAACAGGGCTTCCTGAAACTGTTCTACAGGAAACCCAATGCTATATTAGGCAGCCCTCATCCCCTAACTACTCCCTGACATGAACTACACCTTGGCCCCAAGCCTCCTATCCAAACTGGCCATGATTTGGTTTTACAAGCGTAAACTCATATCAAAGCTTTAAAAACCTTTTTTACTTTTCTTCTTTCCTCAACTAGCAGGTCTTATGATGATGGTGATATATAATACTCCTTTACCTACTAAATACGTAAGTACATTATTCTCATAAAAAAGAAAAATTGTGGCGCTTCCCTGGTGGCCCAGTGGTTAAGGATCTGCTTGCCAATGCCGGGGACATCTGATCCCTAGTTTGGTCCCTAGTCTGGGAAGATCCCACAGGCCACGGGGCAACTAAGCCCGTGCAACACCGCTTGAGCCTGCCTGCTGCATCTGCTGAAACCCAAGCACCCTAGGGGCCGGGTTCCACCACAAGAGCAGCCATGGCAGGGAGAAGCCTGCACCACAATTAGAGAGAGCCTGCAACCAAAACACATACAGATTCACAGGATTACTTCAACCAGAATTGTGACTCAGTATCACTTACAGAGATAATAATTTCCTTGGTGAAAGTCAGTGAGTTGCTGAATGTATCTTGCAATTCTGTATAATGAGCAATGTAAGATACATATAAAAACTTTCTTGAGGGCTTTATCTAAAATCTTCTTATTTGTTGGCCAAATAAAATTTCTGCCTTTCCCTCTGTCTCTCTGTATTTCTGTCTCTGCCAGCGTCTCTGTCTCTCTATTTCTCCCTCTGTCTGTCTTCCTGTCTCTCATTGTCTCTGTGTCTCCATCTCTCTGCCTCCCTCTATCTCTGTCTCCCTCTATCTCTGTCTCTGCCTCCCTCCCTCCTGCCCTCTTGCTCACTCTCCCTTCCTCCTGACCTGCCCTGAACTTGTTGCTCCCTTGCTGGCAGCCCTGCAGCCCTAGGCCCCGGGATTAGTAGTTTCACTCAACAGCTGCACTCAGTGGTGTGTGGAGCAACCAGCTCAAGCCAGTTCCTGACAGCTGACTGTGAACATCCCTCCCCCACTGCAGGTTCAGTGACCTCACTTTTGAAGCTTGACGTGAGCCACACTGTATTTACTCCCCAGAAACTGGTGAGTGCTACAGATCAGTTTCTTTCTTTCCTAGACGTAACTGTTACACATTTCCCATTACGCTGCTGGGCAGTTTCCAAAGGCCCCCTTAAAGAAAATTAAACAGGACAGGGAGGACTTCCCTGGTGGCCCAGTGGGTCATGAACCTGGCTTGCAATGCAAGAGACATGGGTTCCATCCCTGGTCTAGGAAGATCCCATGGACAACTAAGCCCATGAACTGCAACTACCGAAGCCCACATGCCCTAGAGCCTGTGCTCCACGGCAAGAGAAGCCATCACAATGAAAAAAAATAAATAAATAAGAACATGGAAAAAAACCCTCTGTGCCATCCCCATCCAAAAGGAAAACTGACAAAATCCTGTCTATATCCACGGTTTCCTGCAACAGGCTTTATTCCTTCCTCACCTAAAGCAGCCAACATCTAAAATCGTGTGTTCAAGTTTCTCTTGAATTTTTGTAAATACAGTGTGACCATATATATACATATATGTGTGTGTATGTATATACGTACGTGTGTTCATTGTTGTTTTTAGCTTTATGACCCAATAGAGTTTTGAAAATGATGTTTGAAATCAGATACGGAGTAACCGTGGACTGATGTTCTATTTCTTTAACTACAAGATGGCGGAGTAGACGGACGTCAGCTCCTCTCCTGTGAGAACCCCACAAACTACAACTCACTGCACAACAACCATCGACAGGAGAATGTCGGATCTCACCAAAAACAGATACTTTGCCAACAAAGTTCCGTCTCGTCAAGGCTATGGTTTTCCCAGTGGTCGTGTATGGATGTGAGAGTTGGACTATAAAGAAAGCTGAGCACTGAAAAATGGATGCTTTTGAACTGTGGTGTTGGAGAAGACTCTTGAGAGTCCCTTGGACAGCAAGGAGATCCAACCAGTCCATCCTCAAGGAAATCGGTCCTGAGTGTTCATCAGGAGAACTGATGCTGAAGCTGAAACACCAATATTTTGGTCACCTGATGCGAAGAACTGACTCATTGGAAAACACCCTGATGCTGGGAAAGATTGGGAGAATCCCAGGGACAGAGGAGCCTGACGGGCTATGATCTATAGGGCTCAAAAGAGTTGGACACAACTGAAGCGACGAACACACTTCCTTCTTTTGGTGCTCATCTGTTGGTGAAGAATTCAGTTTTTCGTTGCCTGAAATTAATGTCTTTATCTCACCTCCAATTTTGAAGTTTTCTCCTGTTGTAAAGTTCTAGGTTGGCATTTATTTTTTAGTGCTTAAACATGGCATTAATCATTTCTGTTTCAAATGACTGCAGATCTTCTCATTGCTCCTTTGAAAATAATG